ATTATATATTATATACACTATATATATTTTATACATTTTAATAAATTAATACAAATTATTAAATAAGCAAGTTATGTTGTTTTTCAACCTATACTTAAGTAACCATCTGTAACATAGCTATATTTTTGAGAAAAAAATGCTTTATCAGCCTTGAATGAACTCAAACTGGTCTTTAATTTGAGCCTTTATTTACGATTCTCAAAACTAGACGCTCCTTCAGTATATTGCATTATACCACAACTTGAACTTTTATGCAAATAGTTCAAATTTCTCAGAATAGGCTTTGCTTCTCCGTTTAGTGTAAGGTTCACACTAAAAATGAATATTAGTAAACACAGTTATCTCTCCTCTATTTGTGGTATTCAGCTGTAAATGACTGCTAACCTGAGGCCATTTTCACTACCGTCATTATGTCATTGTGAGAAACCTCACCATACTTGATGGGGAAAATCAAGTGGGCAATCGTAGCCCAAAATCACCTTTACAGGACCGGGAGACCGCTGAGAGGAATGGAAACGAGGCAGTGTCATAATTCATTACAGAGATCCAAGAGCGTTCAGCTGCATTAAACTGATTAGTCATCTGTTCATAATAGTTCATTATTACCAATTTTGAGTCAATTATTTAAAATAGCAAAGTTTAGTATGAGCAGTTGTACTGCATACTTGAATCAGTTGGGTTGCTTTGGTTGATTTTGAGCAGATTGTTATTCAGATCCTGATTTATTCAAACATCTATGGCTTTCTGAAAAAATCCCATTAACTTTCACTGTACACTCTAAAAAATGCTGGGTTAAATATAACCCAGTGTTGGGTTAAAAAGGGACAAACCCAGCTATTGGGTTGTTTTGACCCAGCGGTTGGGTTGTTTTGCCCCAGCGGTTGGGTTGTTTTGAACCCAACCGCTGGGTCAAAACAACCCAATTGCTGGGTTTATCCCTATTTTACCCAGCACTGGGTTGTATTTAACCCAGCATTTTTTAGAGTGTACATTTACATTGGACCATGCAAAGAAACCACGAGCAGTTCTCACCACATCAGCTCTTCAAATATTAGCTGAGGTCTGGTCAAAAGACACCACTGTCCCTTTAACACACAATGAAGTCTTGTCACAGAGTGGAGCGTCAACACCTCATACAATTCAGCTATGAGAGAAGGCCACTATCCCTGAGAGCACTTGTTCTTTTGTGACTGATAAAGACTGGAGAAGTTAAATTTGGGCAGGGAGATGCACAACTGAAAGCAAAGGTTTGATTTGTTTGCGACAGACTGCAAGTACGCCAGATTAAAGCCCATGCACGAATGGCGGAGATGCCTATTGTCTTTGTACATAAAACTAGTGTGAAAACACTACTAGATGTGGGATGGACTTTGAAAGCACCGTTTTAGATCCCATGCACTAATGCAATACATTCTCTTGTGTCTTTTATTCTAAACTCAACCTGATTTAATTGCAGGTATTGTGCCCATGTGACCCTGAAGACTGAAGACTTATATTTACACATGGCAACAGCTCATATTTTATTTCCTTTTAATTAGTTGCGATCATATAGCTATTAACAAGGCCTAAGTGAATTAACGACAGCGTCTGTGAAGTACTGAAGCCATGCCAGACAGAAAGGTGAAATCTGCTCAGTTTTTTTTCTCCTTAGACAGGAAGAAATGTGTAAGTCACTGTGCTACTTATAGACGCCTTACATAATGCAGAAAAACAAGTGGGTTATCGCCACCCACCCTCCAGCCGTTTAGGAGGTTAAACTGTAGCTGTGAGGTTTTGAGTAGCTCTCCGCTGGCTCTCAGCGCGGCCGCTTTAACGAACTGTTTTGATATGGAATGCTGCTTCTCTGAGCCCCATTAACACTAAATGATTCTGAGAACAGACGCACAAAGTCATCGTGATAAGTGTCTGCGGATGAGAACAGATAATGGCCCTCTCAGAAATGTGGTTTTGAAATAACATGTTTTTGGAGCCGCGTCTTGTAAACATGTCCATTGAGCTCCTCAGAAACCATTAAATGCTCATTTAGGAATTCAGCAACTGTACGATACGGGCAGACGGGGCTATTTGTCACACTTTTTACTCCAGTGAATATTTATCAAGGTGGGATTATTTTGAAGTCTGCTTCTGTATAGACCATAAAGTCAATCAGCCATGGGGCGCTTAGAAAAACGTGAATAAAACGGCACATGACTGTCAGGAGATGAATAGTTTTGATGGTTTGAAACTAATATCCTTTGTGAAAAAAGAAGCGTGCTTGAAGGTGCACTTGTAGAGTACTTCAAATCTTAAAAGTATTTTTAAAAGCTGTACTTGCTTACAATATAACATTAATGAAATAAAAGGCCACTTAAGTGACAGAGAGACATTTTCATGACTGTTTCTTAACACACTTAAGTAGACTTTTAAAAAGTGCACTTTGTAATAATGTCTAATTAAAAGTTTTACTTTAATGTAAATTGTATTTGAACGTTTTATAATACAAATACTTTTGTCATGCTTTTAAGAAGTGCACTTATTTGAATGTGTTGACTAACATTCTAAAGCAATTTTATCTATAGATATAACATATGTTCATGTAATTGTAAATAACATGCAAATAAGTGTCTGAAAACATTACATTCAGTTGCACTTAATTATATTCTTTTTAAAAGTTTAGTGATTCCATTGTGTGTTTTCACAAGGGGTGTTGAGACTAAAAACACACATCTTGTGACAACTTGCCCCGGTCTCCACAGTAGCAAACTGCTATTTAAAATTCACATTCATCACTTCAACGTCTGCATCTCAGCAGTATCTCGAAGTTTATCGTACATATTTGAACGTCCAAACGCATGAAAATACATGCTTGTTTTGAAAATCTGCTTGCTCATTCATGCACGAGCAGCCGGAATCTCTTTGATCGATATTCTGATGTACGGATAACCGGTTTCAGTACGTTTTCCTGTCAGCCAACACGTGTTCCCATCAGAAGGGAAGTTTCCTTCCCCCTCAAACTATCATCTGGGCTTTACAGCCGCTCTGACTTCACCCCCTCTGGAAATGGACCGGCCTGCTTTGTGTTTTCTCCACAAGGGCCCTTTTGTTGCAGGGCTCCATATGCCAGACAAGGGGCTCAAAGACTTGTAGCCCCAGCTCTGGCCGTAAACACGTCTGGCCTGGAGTGGGGGAAGGAAGGTTATGGAGGGAGTGGACGCTTTCTTGCCGAGCTGCAGTGGTGTGAATGGGGTGTGGGTCAGTTGTAGGTCCAACCGTTGCTAAATTAATATGAGAAGCAGAGGGTCTATAGAAGAGCCCTGTGTAAGTGTGTACGTCCTCTGTCCCGAACAGGGTCCACAGAGCAGTTCCCACACACACACATACACACACACACTGACCACAGGGACATACAACACCCTTTGTAAAGTGGAAAGACTGGGAACAGATTGAATGAACAGTTCCCTACTAAGAAAGACAGAGCTGCAGAGTGTCTAATTTTTAGGGATGCAGTGATATATATATATATA